CAGCAGAAGGAGACTCTGTGCCATACTGGGTGTAGCTTGCCAATATTTGACCTCAAAATCAACCCCCACAGGGGGCTGGAGAGATGGCTCAGTGGTTAAGAGCATTGCCTGCTCTTCCAAAGGTCCTGAGTTCAATTCCCAGCAACCACATGGTGGCTCACAACCATCTGTAATTACGTCTGGTGCCCTCTTCTGGCCTGCAGGCATATGTGCAGACAGAATATTGTGTACATAATAAATAAATAAATAAATAATAAAAAAAATCAACCCCCACAATGACACACTTCCTTCAACGAGGCCACACCTCCTAATAGTGCCACTCCCTATGGGCCAAACACTCAAACATGTGAGTCTGTTGGGGTCTTTCCTATTTAAACCACCATATTGTGTGTGAGTATACATACATCTATCTATATCTGTCTGTCTGTCTATCTACATCTATATATCTATATATATTTAAAAAGTGGAGCCTGGTGCTGGTGGTGCACACCTTTAATCCCAGCACTCAGGAGGCAGAGGCAGGGGATCTCTGTATGTTCGAGGCCAGCCTGGTCTACAAGAGCTAGTTCCAGGACAGGCTCCAAAACTACCAAGAAACCCTTAGAAAGTGTGGTCCCCCTAGTTCAACAATGGCTGTTTCTCAGAGGCAAACATTCGGTAATTCTTTAGGAGGTGGATATCTCAGCTGCCCTCCAGTCTAAGTTGGAACCCTGAAATGTGTCCTACTATCAGTGAAGGAATGCCTCAGCAGAACAGATGACTAACAACAGCAAGGGTCAGAGCAAGCAGGCGAAAGGAAAAGCTTCCTTCTTCCATGTCCTTTTATGTGGGCAGCTACCAGAAGGTGTGGCTCAGGGTTGGTGGGGGGGGGTTCTCACCTCAAATGAGCCAGTTGAGAAAATCCATCAAGGCATGCCCAGCTGTGTGAACAGTTCCTAATTTCCATCCCACCCTGTCCATTGGTCATCTAAACATCCTTTGGGTAAATTTGGGTATCCAGATGCATACTTTGTATATATAATTAGCTCTTTCCTTTCAGATAATACTGCATATAATTATACATTTTAAAAATATTTTTATGGTTTATTTAACTTTATTTTATATGCATTGGTGTGAAGGTGTCAGATCCCCTGGAACTAGATCTTCAGACAGTTGTGAGCTGCCATGTGGGTGTTGGGAATTGAACCCAGGTCCTCTCGAAAAGCAGTCAGTGATCTTAACCACTGGGCCATCTCTCCAGCCCCTAATTATACATTTTTTAAAAGAGTCTCTCATATCGATCACGCTGTTTTGGAACTCACTGTATACCCAACGGTGGTCTCAAACCTCTCAGTTGATTATTTGTGTGCTTTAAAATAATTTTTAAATTTTTTTTATAATTTATTTATCTTTATTTTATGTGCATTGATGTGAAGGTGTCAGATTCTCTGGAACTGGATTTTCAGACAGTTGTGAGTTGCCAAGTGGGTGCTGGGAATTGAACCCCGGGTCCTCTGGAAGAGCAGTCAGTGCTCTTAACCACTGAGCCATTTCTCCAGCCCCTAAAATAATTTTTTGAATTGATGTTTATTCTGTGTCTATAAATCAAGAATGTCTTCATTCCTTCCAGTGGCTGCTTTTAATTGAATTGAATTGATTTATCTTTGAGCCAGGTTCCAGCTGTGTAACCCTGTTGCCCTTTATTTTGCAACCCTCTGTTTCAGCCTTACCAGTGCTGGAATTATAGACATATGCCACTATGTCTGACCCCTTCCTTTTTTCAATTTAATATGATTGAATATTTTTACTTAATACCGTCATTTAAAAAGTTTTGACCACCCCACTGTCATGTTTTCTTTAAATAAATTTCTTTGTTGCTTTAAAAGTGGTATGTTTGTTCCTAATTTAGAGTAAATTCTGACCTCTTTGTTGTTATTAAACTTTAATTGTGTAGTGTTTTTGAGTGTTTACTGCACAGTGAGAAAAATTAAAAGCTTTATGACATTAGTAGCTTGAAAATTGTTTTACTAAATTTTATGTCTCATTTCTTACGTTGGAGAACTTTCTGTTATTCATGCTCACAGCTGTTTGAAGGAGTGCTTGTTTAATTTCTTGGTTTAAACATAACTTTGTTAGCATTTATGCTTATAATTGCACTGAGCAGCATTGAAGTGATGATTTTGAGAATCATAAGAATTTCTTTGTAAGTGGGAACAGTGGTGTTACACTCTGTAATCCCAGCACTCACTCAGAAGGCTGTGGCAGTACAGTCATGGGACAGGGCGTTCAGGCCAGCTTGAGCCTTATAGTGAGGCCCTGAGGCAACAAACATTCAAGCTGGCGAGATGGCTCAGCTGGTAATGGTGCTTGCTCTGTAAGGCCAGCAACTAGAGCTTGATTCCCAGAGCCCATGTAAGGTAGAAGGAGAAAACTGACTCCGCAATGTTGTCCTCCGACTTCTACCTCCACAATATCTACGCACAGTAATACTGAATAAAAGTTAAAAATGCCTCACATGTAAGTATGAATTTGTTGCTTTCTTTAAGTAGAAAGCTAGATTTTATATTAGTTTAGTGTGCCTGTAATTTCAAATTGTCCCAGAGATGGGCTGATGTGCAGGGAAAATAAAGTGATAGTCACACTATGTTGAGGTTACTTCAGTCTGGGCAGCACAAAGACAACATTTGAAGAAGGACGCTTAAAAGAAATCCCACACTAGCTCAGAATTGAGTATAATAGAGGGTTATTTATTTAGGGGTAGACTTACAGATCACAATTCTCTGCTGGAACAGGGAACAGCAACTGAATCCCGCAGCTGGAAACGAGGCCTGACACGCACTTTACATAGGCATATGTAGTATATGAGACCACGCCCAAGTGGGTGGGTAACTTAAAAGCACTGCAGGTAGGAATTTCTACAGCACCTCCCCCTTTTGTTTAAATAAGAAAGTTATAAGCCTAATACAAAGTTATATACAATAAGAACAAATATGTATAAAAATTAGAATTACAACCAGCATAAACAGTATCAAGCAAGAAACATGTGACAAATGTTTCAATAATTACCCTATCTCAAGGAGTTTAAATCTTGTATATAAATAACTTGGCCAAGTCATGTGAGGAAAGTAACTACAACTATGTAGTCTTCAACCCCATTGAAGATCTGAGAAAGGAAATAATATTACTTGAGTAAGCAGGAAGTGCAATCAAGTAACTTCCAAAATTTGCAACAAATGACAGAAACAACTGGCTATCTGGGCAGTCACCCAAAGTCTTATTTGCAACCTTGAAGCAAACAACTTTGGCTAAGGCCTAGAGTAACTGACAGACCAATTTCAGAGGCATAAATTTTTCAAAATCGATTTACCTTGTCTGGGCAAGATTTGACAGTGTTTTTTTTGTATCCTGTTTGTCCAGTCCAAACATCATGCATTTTGTCAGTGGTCAATGCATGGGCATTTCCTTGCCCAAAGGCTACTTTTGGTAAGAAGAAAACAAGCTCCAAGTGGAATGTCTTCGGTGCTCAACATTCTCTCGGGAATAGATCAGTGCTGCCAGGAGCAATCGTGTCTCACTTTAGCAGAACCCTAAGTTATTTATATGCCATATTCTATAGCTCTTTGAAGTGATTGAAGACTACCTATCTATGGAAAATACAATCTCTATGTATCTAAAGAACCTGATTAGTCTAATTTTTTTAAGTATGATAAACATAGATGACTATTGGTCTATAATTCTTAGAACCTATATAACTTAAAGACTAAGATTTCATATTAGAATATTATACAAAAATAACTGTGCAACAAATGAGGACAATGACTTCAAAAAGTAAACAATGTATTAGTATCTTGATCAGAGGTAGAAATGTATGTTGCTATATGATAAATATATCCTAAAATTGTATCATTATACAAAATGTCCTAAGCAGCTATAGAAGCATGCATGCATATAATATGACAAAATAACTTTGCCTAGGTACAAATATTGTAGATGAAAATAGGAACATATTCCATATAATTTAAGCTTGTATCAATATACAAGAATCTATACCAACATAAATTGCCTATAAATAATAGCTCACAAGTATTTACTTTGGTACTCACTATTATTATTATCCCATCCAACCCCCCCCCCTTTTTAAAACGATCCCTGATCCTCCAAAATTCCTCCCAACCCCCAACCCTATGCCAATTGTAATCAACCCCTAAATGATGTCCCTATCCCTGAGGACAAACTTTGTTGGGAGAGGGGACATCATCTTCTAGAGTTACTTCCAGCTGTCATGGGGGCGATGTTCTTTCTATGGGATCCTGTGAAAGTAAAATGATGGTTAAGTTCCAAGATTACTGTCTGGTATAATTGCAAATAGTCTCAGTATTCGGCAAGGTTTTTCTGAGCTTCCTATTTGGAGTTCTGGCCAGAATGTTGTGAAAAAGTGTACCATTTCAGCTAACCAAGTTGGAACCATCTTGGGTAGCTGGTACCCAAAACAGGTCTTATAGTAAAACTATCAGCATCATGACGTAATATCAACCAGGTGAAGTTGTGGATGTGCAGGGAAAATAAAGTGATAGTCACGCTATGTTGAGGTTACTTCAGTTTGGGCAGCACAAAGACAGCATTTGGACTAGGTGGAGTTTCCCTCCCCCATTTTTAAGGATTTAACTATGTAGCCCTGGGTAGGTTAGAACTGGCTACACACACACACACACACACACAGGCTAGCCTCAAACTCAATGATCCCCCTGCCTCTGACTCTCCAGAGCTCTGGTAAAGGCGTGTGTTTCCACACTCAGCCAGGATGAGATCTTTTTATAATAAGTTTTTTTGTTTATATGTCCTCAGACAAGTACTGTTACTGGACAGGGATGTAAATTATAAACTTCTTACGTTCTGTTACTGTTATCCAGTTTAATAATTTTAAAAATAACTTATTTTGAAAAATATGTGTATGGCTTTTTGTAAGTATTGTGTATGTTGGTAGAAAGAAATAGAGGTAATCTTTTCCTTTTTTTCCCTAGGGTAACTCCTTGTACAGTTGCTGTTGTGTGGAAGGATGCTCTTTTCCTGATAGAAGATGATAATCTTGGAGGATGACCATGGAGAAGGGGATGAGTTCTGGAGAAGGATTGCCTTCCAGAGCACCTCAGGCATCTACTGCTAAAGTCACAGTCAAGGAATCAGAAACAAGGCAGCCTTGTGAGGAGAAACGAGGGGGCTTTGTGCTGGTGCATGCAGGTGAGACTTTGTGGGTGAGTTGAAGTGAAAACCAAAAAGGATGTTTTCCATTTCTTGCTGTGAAAAACACCAAAGACTGCATTTCATATTTGACAAAGAGGGTTGGAACCAAAGAATCTGTTAGATGTGATTCTGTATTCTGGTTGGAATATTTTACAATGGTACTTCTTCCTACGTCTTCCTTATTTCCCCTCTCTTATTTACCTTATATAGTACGTATGTTTGGATCAGTTGTGTTAAAACCAAAGTAATTTTTAAATCTTTATTATTTTTCCCACCACACTCCCCTCTTTTCCAATGAGAGTTGAGTGGGGTTGGAGAAATTGCTCAGCGGTTAAGAACTATTGCTGCTCTCAGAGGACCCGAGTCAGTTCCTAGCAGCCACACACAGCAGCTTAGAACCTCCTGTAACTGCAGCTCCACAGCATCTGATGCCTTTGGTACTCATGGGCACCTTCACGCACATGACATACATCAACATGTGTGTATGCAGGCACACATGTTCACACACCCACAAAGATAAAATCAAGATCTTTAAAAAAAGAAAGAAGAGGCAAATTTATGGAAATGTGTATACTTTTACTCAGTTAAAAGTTGACCTGGGACTCTCAATTCCTGCTTCAGAATCTCTGGTTCATTATCATCTTGACTGCACCTTTTTAGCAATGCATCCATGAAGCCGCAGGGTGATTGGTAATGAAAAGTCCCCAGACTATCTTAATACAAAATATACAACTTTAATAAACAGAAGTAAGACTTACACCTGCTTACACCAGAATCCAAACGATGCAGGAGCCAGGTGAGAGAGCTAGCTGCAATGAGCTTGCAGGTTTATAGGCAAGCTTTAGCCTAAGGGCGACACGCCCCACAAACAGAAAGTGATTGGCTGAATTCCCCTATTACATCCATAGTACCAGTAAGTAACTGTCTTTAAAGTTATTGGTAAACAGTGCAAGAAACTTCTGAAACTTGGACAAGTAGTGACAGCTTTAGATTTGGAAAACATTGCTTTTGTTGACTGTTGTGATTCTTTTCTTCCTTTCAGACACACTCTTGATGGTAACGGCACCTAGCTAAAGCATGCTAGAGATCAGAACGAGTAGGGATCAGTTTGGGTGTTGGCAGAAAGTGCTGATCATGGACAACCTCTGCTCCTCCTTTCTGAGTACTGACCAGGCCTGACCCTGCTTAGCTTCTGAGATCAGCTAAGATTGGGTCAGTTCAGGGTACATGGCCACAGATACATCCTTTTTTTTTTCCTTTTTGTTTTTTTGAGACAGGGTTTCTCTGTGTAACAGTGCTGGCTATCTGGGAACTCGCTTTGTAGACCAGACTGACCTCAAACTCACAGAGATCCACCTGCCGCTGCCTCCCGAGTGCTGGGATTAAAGGCGTGTGCCACCATTGCCCAGCTACACCCTCTGTTTCTAAATTGTTGGAAAGTCAAACAGATTGTTGATTACAAAGAAGTCTGTATTTTTACTTTTTTAAAGGATTAAAGATTACATTTCTCACACAATATACAACTGTTTTGTTCAGCATTAGGCTTACCAACATTTAGTCATTTGATTAGTACAGTTTTGTTTTTACCTAGCTATTGGCTAACCTGATACTGACAATAATAAAAGAGTCAGCTCTCCATGGGGGCACATAACAATCCCAGTACTTGGGACATTGTGGTGGGAGGAATACCATGAATTTGAGATCAGTCTGGGTTACATAAAGAATTCCTGACCACCTGAGTTACCCTGAAGAATCCAATTCAAACCAACTAACTAACTAACCCACTAATCAACCAACCAACTGATTGACCAACTAACCAGAAAAAAAAGCCAAAACAAAATAGCCCTTTTTAAGTTTTTGATGAAATATTTATTTTTTAAATAAGTGCATGTGAATATAGGCGCTCACAGAGGCCCAGGAGAGGGTGTTAGATCCTTTGGAGCAAAAGTTACAGGCAGATGTGATCTGTCTAGCGAATGTGGGAGCTGGGAACTGAGCTGGGGTTCTCTACAAGAGCAGTACATGCTCTTAACCACTGAGCCGTCTCTCCAGACCCTGCCTTTAAAGTTGAAAAGCAGAGTCTTATTTCTATGTAGTGAATGCCAGTGTTATTTGCAGTAGAGAAACCGTAGCTCGCACAGTGCAAACATAATAGTGCAATAGTTTTTGCTGTGTACTATTGCTTGGGAGTGCTCTGAGTGCTGAGCCTGTCTTTCCTTTGTCAAACAGGGAAATGAGCAAGTATTAACCAGATTCTAAAGATTAATTTGGGCCACATTGAGCCCTTTTCTTTATTCTACTCAGAAGAATTTGCATACTAAACTTTTTGCCAGTAATATCCCTGCCTTACCAAATATTGCTGAAAGATTGGGATCCCTGAGATGGAACACAGCAGACCTAGGATCACATGCTTCATGTATAGGCCTGCATCCTTTAGTGTGGACTACTTATAGGCAGCATCCCTGATAGTCTATTGGTAATGCCTGCTTGATCTAAACTTTAAACATTTATTCTTGGAAAATTTTATATGTATGTGATGCATCTTGATCATATTTCCTGCAGTCTTTCCCTCCATCTTTCCTCAGCCCCTCCCCAGCACATCTCCCTTCCAACTTCCTGTTTTATTTTTTCTTTTTAAACAACTGAGTTCAGTTATTGTTGCCAACATATGCAAGGATGTAGAATCCTCTGCTGGGCTTTGGGCAGCCTTCTAGTGGCCATCACCCTAAAGAAAAATGACTCTCAATTCCTCAACAGCCATCAGGAGCTCCGTCCATTTCCATGCTGGATTTTTTTTTAAAAGATGGTTTGATCTTGTGTGTCTTGTATAACTAGTTATAACTAGCTGCTATGAGTTTTTGTTTAGTAGCCACATGAGAGCAGCATTTCTTCCATCTTCAGGTCCTTTCATTCTTTCTGCTCTTTCTCTGATGTTCTCTGAGCCTTGCAGGGGGCTAGGAGTGGTGGTTGATGTGCATGTCGCATTTGTATCTGAGCACTCATAGCTACTTATTTTCATCTGCAGTAGCCACTACCTTCTTTAGTAAGAAGATTGTCTGATGAAGATTTAGAACAGCACACATTTATGGATAAATATTTAGAGAGCAATTTGATAAAATGGCCATTTAGCAAAGCAACATTGATAGGTTCCCCTGTAGAGCCTATAATCTCCCTGACCATGGATTTTGACTGAGAATAGTGCCTGGCATGAATTCCCTCCCATGCAGCAGACCTCAGATCTAATCACGAGAGTGGCTGGTTATAACTATGGGCAGTCTTACTGCTGTTGCACCCGTGGGTCCATCATGCCCCGTGGATTTATATTGTAGTGTTCAGGGTTCAGAACACCATTGATGTCTTCTCTCCTCTAGTACATTCTAGAATTATGAAAGCTAGCTAGCAGGGAAAGAGTTTCCTGATCAGTTTGATTGATTTTTGTTCTGCAACTGAAGTATGAGGTGTCTTCATCACTTAGGTATTACTCTATACCTATGGTGGACAGTTGGGAGCAAAGGCAATAGCCTGTATTGTTTTTGAGAACTTCCTGGCCAATAATTCGTAGGGATGTAACCTGTGCATGAGACAGATATTTAATAACCCATCTTTTGGAAACAGTCTGTTCATCCATGTGGGGTATTGCCATCGAAACTTCTTTTTTAATGGAAAAAAAACCCTAAATATATTTTAGCTTACCAAAGGATGGGGTTTAATAATGCTTCCTCATAGGTTGTTAGTTTTGGTTAGACCTACCCCCCTGTACTCCTTGCCCTCAACCACTGCCCCTTCTTTTCTTCAACGTTAGCTCCTTGTACTATCCCCTCCCATGTTCTTCATATCATATGTGGTTCTGCTATCTCCTATTATTATTTTTACTTGATTACAAGATCATGTGGCTTCTTTATGCACACTTCATTTTTGTTAGTCCTTTCATGTCTCCTTGTTTCTCAATCCTCTTTACCCCACTGTCTGCTTGAAACTTCTCTGCATTCAGCATCTCACCTTTGAGCTTTCCTCCTCCTGAATGACTTCTCCAGGTTAAACACATGAAATAAAAGATTTGAAGGAAGGGTCCATGTATGAGAGAGAACATGCAACATTTGTCTTTTTGGGCATGGTGACCTCACTCATTATAATTTTTCCAGTTCCATTCATTTGCCTGCAAATTTCTTAATTTGGTTTTTCTTCACAACTGGGTAATATTCCATTGTATATATGTACCACATTTTCCTTATTCATTTGCCAGTTGTTGAATATCTAAGTTGATTCCATTTCCTAGCTGTTGTGAATAGAATGTCAATGACTATGAATATGCAAGTGTCTCTGCTGTAAGATATGTGGTCCTTTTTGGTATGTGTATCCAGGAGTGGTATACCTGGGTCATATGGTTCTGTTTTCAAATACTTGATTATTTTTCCTCTGTAGATCATGACGTCAGAGAGCTGTGAAGATAGGTTTGACCAAGACTGATAGAGACTCTGTGAGCTTTTAGCTTTCTCTGACGAAAGAGAAACTTTTTAAGCCTTAGGGACTCTAGTTGCTTAACCATTGTTTCTGTTGTCCCAGGTTCTTGTAACACTGTTTGTGGGTCAGTTTTCTCTCAGTCTTGAGAAAAGTTGTGTTAGGTTTTCACTACATCCACAGGAGAGTTGGGAGACTTAGACGTGTAACTTTAACGTTCCTTAGCTTTGGCCTCTATGGAATCTACTGAAGGAGGAGGGTCATAGTAAAGAACTCTAATAAGAACATTAGCCATCAAGAGTTTAACGTTCTTGTCTCTCCTCCTTTTGTTCCCCATTCTTCTTCTACTCCCATCCGTAGCTTGATCCTCTTAATTAAAAATAAGGGGCTGGAGAGATGGCTCAGTCTTTAAGAGCACAAACTGCTGCCAGTAGTTCAATTCCTAGCACATACATAGTGGTCAACAATTGCCTGTAACTTCAGTTCAGGGGATCCAGTGCCCTCTTCTGGCCTCTGTGGACACTGCATGCAAATGGTGCATAGACTTACACATAAAAATACGTAAATCTTTAAAAGCATTAGAAAGCATTTGCTCTTGAAGAGGACTCAAGTTCACATCTCAGCACTGATGTTGGCTGCTCACAAGCACAGGTACTTCTAGGTCCAAAGGATGGAACACTTTTCTTCTGGTTTCCTTGGACACTTGTGTGAATGTGCACATATAGACAGACACACAGAATCAAAAGTAATAAAAATAATTTTTTAAAATTTACTTATGTATTGTGTGTGTGTGTGTGTGTGTGTGTGTGTGTGTGTGTGATACATGTGTGCACCTGTGGAGACCAAAAGAGGACACTGGATTTTGTGGAGCTGGAGTTGGGTGGTTGGTTGTGAGCTGCTTGATGTGGGTCCTGAGAACTGAACGGGGTTTCTTTGGAAAAGCAGCAAGTGGTCTTAACCACTGAGCTGTCTCTCTAGTTCCAAGAATAAATTTCCTTAAGAAAATTAGTTTATTTGGAGCCAAACTTTTAAGTAACTGTCTGTGTTTTTTTTTTGAGAATTCTTGAGAATTTTAGATTCTAAATAGTAATTTCCCAAATAGTAGGGCATTTAAAAGATCACTGGAGAGGGACTTCAAGATTCTTTGTTCCTGGCACCACCTGCATTATCAATTGCATACCAAAGGAACTCCTGAGTTTAGTTTTTTTTAAATTAAAAACCACATCTGTCTGTTTGTCTGTCTGTCTATCTGTCTGTCAGTCTATCTATCTATCTATCTATCTAATCTTGTCTGTCTGTTTGTCCATCTAATGTGTGTGGTGGTGGGGAAGGCCTGTGCCACAGGATATTTATGGAGGTCAGAGAATAACTTGTGGGAGTTGGCTTTCTACTATTGTCTTATAGGCCTCTGGAATAGAACTTAGGTTGTCTGGTTTGCTGCAGGTATCTCTAATCTTGGTAGAGGTTCTTGAAAGGGGGTGGGGGTGACCATGTCGAGGATCTTTGAGGGCACATGCTATTCTTAGGAGCTCTGACAGGAAGCTTTTTTGAATAAGGATAGCAACTGTATGCTATGGGAGCACATTCTGCTCCTCCAGCCAATAGCCTTTAAGATACCAGCCCGCTTGGGCGTGGTTTCTTAAACTGTAAAAGCAGCTGTAAACTTGTTTCTGCTCTCTTGCTTCTGGTCCCGGCTTCTGGCTGCTAGACGTTGTTCCTGTTCTTGCAGAGAACTGTTATTTAGGACAATCTGTAAGTTTTCCCCTTAAATAAATAACCCTTTTATTGTTCATAATTCTGAACTGGTATGGGATTGTTTTGTGACTTACATCATCAGCTGTAGGGTCTAGAATCCCATACAGCCAAGGCCCTGGGACTGCACGTGTGGGCTGCTTTTCTAGCTGGTGGGCCCACTGGTAGTTTAGCAGTTACTAACACCTTTTTTGTTTGTTTGTTTTTTTACTGTAGGTGCAGGTTATCATTCAGAATCCAAAGCCAAGGAATATAAACATGTATGCAAACGAGCTTGTCAGAAGGTATGAGCAGTGTGTGTGTAATGCCTATGGTTCCGCATATGAAATGTCACCTTAAGATTCAGAGTTTTAACTTTTCATTTCCAGTGAAGTTTGCTAGATCCCAAAGTTATTTTACCCATATTTGTAGGATCTTAGTCCTCAGTTTCTAGTTTGATCTGTGTTTTTAATTCTTTGAATGATGTTTAGCTTTCTCCTCTCCTTCCCCAGATTAAAGTCTATGCTTTTTTAGTTATGGGCACATATAACCATATCCTTTTAAATATTCCTACATGACTGAATTCTGTGGAAAGGTGGGGAAAACTTCCTCTTAAGTAGTTTGTTGTTTTTTCTTTCTTCCTTTCTTTAAAAAAATATTTTTTTTTGAGAATTTATATATGTACATATGTATTCATTTTTTTTTTTTGAGACAGGATCCCATTTTGTAGCTCTGGCTGGCCTGGAATTCACTTGCCTTTGCCTTCCTGTGAATAAATACTTTTCTTGATGGGATGTTATAAAAAAGAAAGAAAAAGAGTGAGAGAAAGAAAAAAGAAAGAAAGAAATAAATAAAACAAGTGCTTTTCTTAGCTGACCCTGGGCCCTACCTAGCTTGCTCTCCAGCATGGGCATAGCAGATGCCTGTCTTCCTAGTGGAGTCTGCTGTTCTCCTCACTTGGACTTTGTGCACCTTGACTTTTGAGATTTTCTAAATTTTTGAATACTTAATTTGGGGGCAGGAATGAGCTCAGAAAAAAATATTGTTTTTATTTAGATCTGTACTGTATAGTTTGTAGGCAAACTTTCTATACTTTTTATGCATATAGAATGTTAATTAGATACTGCCTATCAGGTAAATATGGGTATTTTTCCTTTTATTTATATTTAAATTCCATTTATAAGAAAGATACTGTATTGGAGTAACGAACATTTTCTTATTAGTGGATTACCATAAATTGAGAGTATTTTGTTACAGGGATTTTATATAGTAAACACACACACACACACACACACACACACACACACACACACACACACACTCTTACATATCCAGACATGCAAACAAAACACTCATACATAAAATAAAATAATAAAAAAGTTTAATTAGAAATACATGAATGATTAGTTTTTGGGCTTTGTCTTTGTTAATTAAATTAGAGTTTTAGTAATTCGTTTAAAAGTTAATTTTTTTAGTAACATAATTCCTTATTGGTTCTTTGGGGATTTCACATCGTGTACCCCAATCCCACTCACCTCCCAGTCCCTCCCTATCCTCCCCTCACACCTGCATCATCCCCTCCAAAAGAACCTTCCCCCACAATCAATTAAAATCAAAACAAACAAAAACCCACCTCGCTCCTCCATCTTTCCAACCCCTCTTCATTCATCCTAGTGGCATTGGGTGCTTCGGTGTGCCATGCAGTATACCCTCTTGTCCAGTCAGCTGTACCCACAAAATGTTCCTTGTAGTAAGGTCTCTGGTACACCATTCTCACTGGGCCTTCACCAAAATTCCTTTCTGATATCCTGCTGCTGCTCTGAGTCTTGGGGATCCTACAGTTATTGTTCTGCAGGATCAGTTCCTTTGCACACTCCAGCAGGTTATAGATGGGGTAGATGTTTGGATGGGCCAACCCAAAGGCCAGGATGTAGGTCTGGGTGGTAGCTGAGCTGGTTAGTCTGGGTCACTGGCCCATACTCCTCATGTGGGACCCAGAGACAGCTCTCCTAGGCCCATACCATCAGAACCAGCTCTTCCACACCCATGGCGAGGAGTGGGGTCATTTCTCCTGAGTGTGGGGAGCCAACTTTCCCATGGGTTCTTCTGCTGCAGTGACCAGTCAAGGGCAGGGCCAGCTATCTCAATGCCAGTGAGGGACGGGAGTGTCTCGGCATAGCCCTCAGATAGCAACATTCATGGTTCCTATGACCTGTGGCAACATGGGCCATGAACATCATCAAAGATCTTGTCTGTAGCAGGACCATGGACTCAGAAATGCACTGTGGTAGTATGACCTGGACATCACCGTGGATGGCCCTAGTGGCAGCATAGGTTACTCAGACCAGTATGGTATTGGCAGCAGCAAGGCTCTCGGATACCAACATGGTCTAGGTAGCTGTCTAGACCCTGGGCATTGCACAGCCCTCAGTGGTAATAGGAGCCATGGACATCAACTGATAGCCTGGCTGTTGTAGGATCATGGACCCAGACATGGTCCCCAGAAGCAGCCCGGGGCTGGCTGTCACCATGGCCCCAGGTACCAGCACAGGCCACTCAGATCATAAAGATCAGTTTATGTTTTTTCTTCACCCCCCCAATTAGGTGATTTTTTTTATTCAGTAGAATATATTACAAAAGAATATTTTCATAGAAGAAGACATTATAGTATCAGGAATGTTTTTGAAAATGAATGTTTCCACCTGTGGATCCTTTTTTAATTTATATACACCCTCCCACCCATTTTTGAAGTCTATGCTGGACTAGATAAATCATGTACTCTTCCTGTCTCAGCCTTCTAGCTGAGATTAAAGGTGTGAGCCATCAGAGCTGGTCTATCAGAAGATTTTGTGACTTAGAAATAGTAGTTGTTTTTGATTCGCATGGATGGGGAGAGTAGAAATCGTAGGAGACGTAGCTAGGTTTGAGATGCAGTTCTTCATATGGAACATAAATTATCAGGGTATCTTAGTGGAACTAGCTCCTGTCATTTCTGAGACTCTTATGAATTGCTTTGAACAGCGCAGCTCTTTCCCTTACAACTCCTTGTACCTTGCAGTTAGTGGCTAATTTTTAGTAACTGTTTTCATTTGGATAATATCAAGAATGATGATTAGTCCGAGTAATAAACACTACTTTTCTTGAGTCTGAGAAACATATGCCTTAAAGCAGCCTTGTCCAGTGTCACAGGTCCCATGAATCCAGGAATGAAACCTGATGTAGCTACAACTTCATGTCTTAGTGTCAGACACCCTGCTCTGCCTTCAAGTGTGGAGTGGAAATACTGACCGATTTTTACTCTGAGTGTCTCATACTTTTAAGTCTTTGCAAAGCTTATGATAGGTTTGCGGAGCTGGTTTTACAGTAAATAATTTCTCCTCTTTGTTCCGCAGGCAATTGAGAAGCTGCAGGCTGGTGCTCTTGCGACAGATGCAGTGACAGCAGCTCTGGTGGAGCTTGAGGTATTTCTTCTCTCTTTTCATGTTTTGTTTAAAATATTTGAATTTATGTTCCTTATTTTTAAATGGTATGAAGATGCTGAGTTAGCCATGTGTCATGTAACCAGTGTTTTCCCACCAATATTACCAAAGCAATGAAAGGATGATTTTTAAAAAGTATTTTCATTGGTGACTTTTCCTGAGTAAAAAAAAAAAAAAATTGGTTAATTACTTCTTCTTCTTGTTTTTGTAGGATTCATGGTTATAAAAGTTATTGGTGATAGTTATTTTCAGTAGGACAGTTTTTGAAGTTCATATCCCCCAAAATGAGATATATCTTTAATAACACATGATGTCAGCTCTCTAGCAGTGTCAAAAGTGGACAGACAAGTTTTATCACAAATGTAGCAAATGTAATCCTGAAGCTATATGCTGTGTGTTTTGTGAGAGCACCCTTGTTCCTGTGGGATTTTCAGGACCGTTCCAGGTTTATAGTGGGCACTGAGTTGAGTTGTGGAGGCTCTTGGTATCTTGGTATCACTGGGAGTGAGGGGCTCCCAGTCTCTCTGACTCTGAGTATTGATGAGTTTGAGGCTTGAGAAGACTGCAATGTGGAGAGGATGGATTCGTTAGTGAGCTGACCAGATCATAGAGATGACTGTTTCACTGGATATGAAGACATCTTGGGGAGGGAAGTTAGACATGGGATGAGGAGCAATGAGTGTGAAGGAGGAGGTGTGAGGTAAAGTAGACATGCCCAAGCTGACAGTTGTGGGCTTTTGCTTAGTCTTTGATATCAGGGAAAGTAGTTCAGGAGTTTACTGAAAGCCCTAGCCATGTTTTCTGTACACACTCTCTCTTTTAACTGTAGAGCTGCACTTTGTACATTTTAACCTGTAACATGAGGTCTTGGGCGCCAATTGTAACATGAACGGGGCCTGCTTGTTTGTGTTTTCGTTCTGCCCGGTACCCCACAACCGGCAAGCCCCAAAGAAAATCACACAAAGATCTCTATAAGTTATAAGCTGATTGGCCCATTAGCTCTAGCCTCTTATTACCTCTTGTAGCTTATATTAACTCATTATTCTGATCTATGTTAGCCATGTGGCTCATTACCTTTTTCACTGGGGCAGATCACATCCTGCTGCTTCCGTGGTCTGGGCAGGAGTGGGAAGAATCAACTTCCTCCTTCCTAGAATTCTCCTGTTTTTATTGCATCATTTCTATTTCCTGTCTGGTTTTCTTCACACCTATACTTCCTGCCTGGCCAATCAGCGTTTATTTAAAACATGATTGACAGAATACAGACAATTCTCCTGCACTATTGACTAACATTTAACATATCATGCTAACATAATCAGGGCAGGTTGGAAGTGTGTGTGTGTGTGTGTGTGTGTGCGCGCGCGCGTGCATATTATGGTTATTAGTTCTATTGAAGTCTGGCCTCTGAAACATCTAGTGTTGGGATTTGTTGGTGCTTGCCTATTGGGACCTAGCGTATCATTCATAGTAGAATGACACTGGGTGTATTAGAGCCTGCCCATAACTCAGTTCTATCTGTAATAGAATAAAAATAATTCCTGCTGACAGAATTATGAAGATTACTATATGTTAATCACTTAGATGCTCTATAGATTATAGTAAAAGCTGTTATGATGTGTTCTACAACCATCAATGATTGCTATTTTGTAAAGGTTTTTAGATGTTCTGGATTAAAGGTTTTTAGATGTTCTGGATTAAAGACAGTAAGTGACACGAGAAAGGAGGTTATTGTATTGTCTGCTAAATCTTCCTTTATTTAAAACGTCTAGTATGGTCCCTTTTGTAGAAGGTGATGTCACAATTATCATTTTGTGGAGTCAGTATAGGTCTGGGGGAACTTAATGAGCGATGCAGAAATATGCAATTACCTCAGTCATGGACAGGTAATTATATAAAACTAAGTTTAAAACACTTTAGAGTAACTTTATTTTTGTAAGTTAAAACTATATCATATTGAATATTTGTTTCTATTTCTCCCTGCTTTCATAAATAATTACTTATTTATATTGAAAAAAATACCTTTTGGGACCTCATTATGGTGATGCATGCCTGTAATCTAAACATTCCAGAGGCTGAGCATGTTTGAGGCTAGCCTGGGCTACTTAGTGAGACCATATCTTAACAGCTACAAACTCATACACAACAAAACCCATTCTGAACTAATGAGTTATTCATAAATAGGTGAAATTTATAGTATTTAAAAAATTTTAAGGTGTATTATTTTTATTTTATGAGTGTTTTGCCTACATGCAGTCTTCCTTTCTCAGGTTCGTGAGTACTGGGATTGTAGATATGAGATGGCTAATACGGGTTTTGAACCTGACACACCTGGCAAGAGAGGACTTCAGCTGACAGATTGCTTTCATCAAAAAGGGCTGTGGGTGTGTCTTTGAGGCATTTTAATTATTAATTGATGTAGGAAACCCAGCCCATTATGTGTGGTGCCAGCTCTGAGCAGGTGGGCTTGGGCTGAAGGAGAAAGCAGGCTGAGCCAGCCAGAGGGAGCCAGCTAGTATCCTGTATGGTTTCTGCTTCAGTTCCCACCTTAGTTTTCCCAGTGATGGACTGTGACCTGAAAGTTGTAAGACAAAATAAACCCTTTCCTTCCCAAATTTCTTTTTGTTAATTCTACTGGTTGGAGACCACTGCCACAATTTAAAGCTAAATTTATAGCAAGCTTTAATTAAATACTGGCCAGGTGGATGGGCTCTTACCAGGTCCATCTCCAGGTTTCCAGAAGATGGCCCTGAATCAAGTTTTGTAGCATCTTAACTAATTCCCTTAGATCCAGTCAGGGACAAGGATGCATCTGGACATTCCTTCAGCCTATATCCAGTCAGGGACAAGTGTGAACCTCTTGCCCACGTGTGATTAAGCATTTTTGGTGCAGATGGGTCAAACAAACTTGTTTGTGGAGTGGAAACATGTTGCTTGTTTTATATCCCATAAACAATAGCATCCAGCATTTGAGGAACTGGTTTTTGGAAGGGGCTTGCAGATCAGAGACATTTTGCTTCATGGATCTCTAAGGCATAGTGATTAAAACTTAAAATGTAACTTTGACTTTCACATTTTTTCATGGTGTTTATCATATCAATAAGGAAGCTAGCTAGGATTAGGTGTCTTATATCTTTTCTTGAAATGTATGTTCATAGTTTAAATGTCAACTGGGAGGATTTTCCTGTATTTTAAGAATTATGTGGTCATTTCCTTTACTGTCCCCTGCAATCTGTCTACCTTAAGTGTTTGAAATATATTACATTAAACCCAGGATAGGTTTTCCTTTAAAGAGTTCAGTTGAAGCTATTATTGTAATATTGAAAATATTATTGTAACTATTGAAACTATTATTGTTATAGTTTGGATCAATAGAAAGAATAAAAAATTGGATTATGTTTTCTCTGCTTAGATGAATATGTCATTCTAAGTCTTTTGAGCATTTTGAAATGAGAAAAATCACAGGAAGTCTGATTTATATTGTTTTACATTCAAGAGTAACATCACCATCAAGTTTAGTCACCCTCTTTTCACTTAGGTCTCATCCTAGATGTGCCTTTTCCTTTGGATTTAGGAAGATGGTTTTTTGGTGTTATGAGAGGAGATAAGGTCTCTCTCTAGTAGTTCAGGCTGTCCTTGACTTTGTAATCCTCCTATTTCAGACATCCAATAATTGGAATCTCTCACACACACAGACACACACACACACACACACACACACACACACACACACACACACACATATAGCATCAAGCCTGACTTACTCCAGAGGGTGGGAGGGTTTGTATATCTGTGTGTTTGTGTGTTTGTGTGTGTGAATGTGTGTGAGTGTTTTGGTTTTTCAACACAGGGTTTCTCTGTGTTGCCTTGTCTGTCTTGGAACTTGATTTGTAGACCAGGCTGGCCTTACAGAGATCTGCCTGCCTCTGCCTCTTGAGTGCTGGAATTAAAGGTGTGCCCCACCACACCCGGTTGTATTTATCTTCTTAAAAATTAAGGTTTTTATTATTAGTAGTTTTAGTATTAGTGTTTTTATTTGAGACAGGGTCTCTCTGCTTAATTCTGGCTATTCTGAATTCACTGTGTAGAGCAGGATGGCCTCAAACTCAGAGATCTTTCTGTGTCAGTGTAAAGTTAAGTTTTTTAAAAAGTATTTTTTTTTTTCAGATTAGATTTATTGTTGTCCAAGCTGGCTTGAATTTATAATTCTTTGGATTCCACAGCCTTAGTGCTGGTATTATCTTTTATTTTTTTTTAAAATTTATTTTTGTGGTTTTTTTTTTGAGACACAGTCTGGCCCTGGCTGTTCTAGTACCTGCTATGTAGATCAGGCTGACCCCAAACTCACAGAGGTATGCCTCTCTCTGGGCCTGTTTTTCCCTTCCCAGTGATGGGATTAAAGGCTTGTACTACCACACCTGGGTAGGCATATACTTTTTGATTAAATAAATTATATAATTTAAACAAATTACCTGTTGGTTTTTCTTTGCCAGATACTAGAATTGGTATGAATTACTTGAGCACACTCCTAAACACAGACTGAAGTAACTGATATGAAATGGTTTAATGATTCTTATTGGCTAAAAAGGGTATTTTTAAGCCTTGAGTTTAAGAAAGTGTGATCATTTGTTTTTTCCCAAATAGTGTTTAAATACCAGTATCAACTTCATACAGTAGAGGAGGAAGGAACAGGTGACACAACAGGGACTTTTTATACACACCACACACCTTCCCTCCTCCTCCTCCTCCTCTTCCTCCTCTTCTCCTCCTCCTCCTCCTCCTCCTCTTCTTCTTCTTTTTAGGTTGGATCGTAATTAACAAGGGCTGGGTTCAGACGTTGCATAATTACAGCTGGTTTTTGGACTCGTGATTGTCTTGATTCTACTTCCCCAGTACTGGGATTACAAGCATGTGGCATTGTACTTTGGTTCTTCTTTTAAACCCCTTTGTAATTGATTGTTTTGGTTAGCACACAAAGAAGCAGG